AGAGACCTTGGAGTTTGGTGCAAGGACATGATAGCAACTGATAAGATCAGATAATGGACAGTAGTAAGTTGTACCCCTAAAACAATCCGGTCCCCTTACTCATGATAATGGAACGCTTGAGCAATCATTAATAGTGGGGGAGGAAAGATGATAGGTGATAGAAAAAGATAATGATTGGTAATGGCTGGTAAAAAGCGTTGATCATGTCCTCCATCCTGAATACGATTAAATCGTGGGCGGACTAGTACGGTCATAGGCTGCCAAAACTATGCCAAGGTGTTAGAGGGTACGACGCTTGCCTTAGACGGTGTGATTTAGCCAGGAAGTTCGACAGCAACGCCCCTTTCGGTAGCCCCGCCCCCAAGTGATTGCGCTACATGATAATTAATGTTACCAACCGAACACATTGCGATCCGATATCATCAAAACTGTAACAACGAAAGTGACGTTAAAGGTGGAATGTAAGATGGTACGAACAAGCACGAACTCGTCCGAACCCCTTCTCCCTTGCATTCTTTTTGAACGAAAGTCCACATTAAAACATGATATCATAGAACTTCTACAATTCTTCGAATTTTTCTCCACTGACAAACCATATAGCCTTTCTATGAGCATTGAAACGCCCCATCAGCCATATCCTTGGGATAGAAATGTTACTTTGAGAGAATAGAGCTCATGGACGGGGTCGAAATTTTAACTGGACTAGCAATTCCTACTTTGTATCACCTCTGTAGTTTTTGATAATGGAATGTGATGATCGTCACTGTTACCTGCGCTCATAGCTTGAATTATGCGTCACTGGCGTCCGAAAACAAACAGTTTAGAGTAAATACCATTATCGAGCCGTTTATAAGCTGTAAGTAAACGGTAGCAATTGGTGACGATGGCGTGAGACGATGTCCACTGGTTGCAAGGGTAAGGGTTCAAACGCAGCCTGTGAACGAGTATGAACCGTAGGGCTGTTTTCGGACAACATCAGGCTTTTCTGATAAGAACGACGTATGATGTTCATAAGACGAAGTAGGGGCCCAGCGGAAGAATGCTTCGAGTCTCACTGGGAAGGTCCATAATCAAATTGAATTAACTCGTTACTCATGCAGTGGCAGAAGTCTATCTAAGGGGGGGGGGGGGGGGGGGGGGGGGGNCGAAATTTTAACTGGACTAGCAATTCCTACTTTGTATCACCTCTGTAGTTTTTGATAATGGAATGTGAGGAGGGGCTATCACTGTCACGCGCATGGTCCGGGGATCGAATACTGAATCGATACTCGCCCTGCCCAACAAAGTCTTCCATCTCTCCAGGGATGGCTGGTGGTTTGTTTGGGAGGAAAGAAGAACTGACTTGTACATCGGCTGGTCAGCGCAAGTCATTGTATAGACCACACATGCTTTGAAATGTAGTCACAATTCCGAATCAAAGTCAAATGTAGTGGTGCATGCCAAAAACGGGAATGATCAACGCCAAAGATTTTACCCTCAACCTTTTTCGTTTTCTCATGAACCGAAGTGGAAGTTCAGGAGTTTGTAAAGTTGGCATGATAGACAAGACCATCGAAGACTACCTTTTCCCACATTTCAATAATTCGAAAAGCTAACGGGCAATATCTAGCGTGCTTTGCTAGCTTTGACACTTTCTTCGTTTTGCTGGTGAGGGAAAGTTACAACAATCAATCAGAAGGAATTTTACGTTATCGATATAAACACCAGTGAACTGACATCCCCAAACGTACTGTTTTTTGGTACTGATCCGGAGAACCCACTTCCTTCCCGTCGGAACGAAGCTGGTCTATTTGTGACTGAAAAAGTTTTGTTTACGCCCAACCCTCTAGGTGATACCATTAAGTCAGACGAAAATATTTGCCAACACGAGCACATGACTGTTACGCTATCGATCAACGGTCAGTATCGACTTCTTTGGGTTCGAGAGGTTGCTTTCTTTCCATGAACATAAAGCCATCAAGAAGGCAGATTACTGCTTAGAAGTAAAGAAGTGTAAAGATGAAAGTAAGTAGTAGCGAAGGGGATATATTGCTCTGTCAAAAGGAACCTCTACAGCCACCTCACTCACCAACACCTGGTTCGATTTCGTGATTGCGAGTCGGTTTATCAACACATATGTAAGTGCATGCCTGTCCATACCCACGAAGCCTTTAATCCTTCCAGGATCAGTTTATTGGCACGGGATCCATTGGACACTTTTGATTCCTGCAAAGGCGGATTAGGCCCCAATCAAGTGCCTTCAATTAGAAGTCCATTCTGTGGGGACATATCAAAACGAATGACTATTTATCAACCATTCATGAAAAAATGAATGCAAATAGCAGTACAGAAAGTAAGTCTTGAAACTTTCCGAGGATTTATTTATCTTTGGATCAGTCGCTTCGAAGACTTGTTAGATCTGTCCAATCTGCCATTACCAGGTCCACGGATTGAGTCAATTTTTTAGTAGCTGTCGGTGTAATTTTACTCTTTATCTTACTCTCTATTTTTACTCTTGCTTTTAATTTTACTAGTAATATAAATCAGTAATATAAATCTGAAAATACTACTTCATCGAATGGTTTCTTTTTGACCTGTTAACTCTACCATCACCACAAGAACTACCTGGGCTTTTTTTACTTATAAGTGATCTTATCCATATTCTTTACTTTTTTGAATCATTTTCATTTTTTACTTTCTATGCCCCCCCCCCCCCCCTCCCTTCGAATGCATGTACTTTTCTGACGTTATCAGTATGGCAGTAAGAATTTGAGTGATTGGTGTGATAAAAGCTATGGGTCGTATAGTAAGTGCGGCAGGGACACGAAGGACCATCACTATTTGCTTAGCAGCCAAACAACCTCCCGTCGACCATCGTTCTTCGTCTCCGCGGCCATTCCCCAAATCGCCACAATGATGTCCTTCCAGCGCCATTGTGGAGTTCTGATCCTTCCCTACGGAAGCGCATGCAGAACAGGAAAATGTGGGCAATTCCATGGAAAGAAGTGAATCAGCTTGGGAAAGGATTTTCGCTTTGAATGGTTTTATGAATTAAGGTTCTATAAAAAGTACATTCCACGCCATGTAGGTGACAGAACTCAAGAGTGAAAGTGAAGGTGATATCTGGCCAGTTAACTGGGGAACAGTCAAAACGAACCACCGCAAACACTCCAAATAAGAGTGTTTATGAGAATATGGTGAAAGAAATGGGGGACGGGGTAAAAGGCAAATGTAGAAGTTTCTATCTGCCGACATTTCAAGACGCGCGATTTGTTTTAGATTCTTGAAGTTTATTTATGATAAGTTCTCCATTCAGTTAGTGCCATGTTAGTGTCACTTCTGATTCTGATTGCCGTAAGTTCAAGTACGACCTATCATATCAGATTGCAAGACTTTTAGTCACGATGTAAACGCCAAAGGTGGACGTGATAGACTGGTTGGGAGGGCAGCATCTTGCAAAATCATATGACTAATCCACAGGACGAGTTCAACGTGGATTACGGTTCCCGGGCATCTCTGGTAATCAACTTTATAGTCAAAAAATACGGTCCTTGTGCTATATAATTGCGCTTTCGAAAAAAATAACTACAGCATTTATCCATCGAATTTTTCTTTCAAAAGTAAATAGTTTTAGAATAAACAGATAGAGTTTCCATGGAATCCTACTTCAAGCGCACCATAAGAAGCCGATCAATGAAAAAGACCCTACAAGATTTGCTCATATGCGAAAAAGCAGTTAATGCTGATAATTCGAAAGTATTTTTGGAAGTGTAAAGCAAATTTGAAAATAGCAATGGATACATTTGCTCAGCTGGGATAGGATAGAGACTTTTTCCATTGAATTCCTTTCCCACCTACGTTGGGTCAGCCAACCCAGCACACTCTAGCCGCTTCCGTCGCAAACGAGATTCCCCTAAATGGCCTATTATGAGCTGGGACGAATAGCTCCTCTAAGGTGTTGTTTAAATGTCGGTAAACTAATTCTGAAGGCGAAACATTTTCAGATGCGAGACAGTGAAAAGAAACGGCTTCATTCGGGACGGAATTCATCAGCGGCTTGGCCACCTCCTCAGGCGCCATCCTACACTGCACCATACCGTGAGGCACCCACCACCACCACCGCTGTGCTGACTGCACCCACCCCTGTGCAGAGTTACGAGTAAGTTACCTAACTTTTTATAAAAATCGGTTTTCTTAATTAGTAATCCTTATAAATAAGTTGTTACGGTTTCCAAACCATTTTGATTGTAGCTTTGCTCCACGTACAACCGTTGTTCAATCACAAGCAGAGCCATCTACTCAGTACGTATCACGACCACAGTACTCAACTCAGGTAGCCTCTATCTATGGTTATTTTACCAAAAAAAATGAAACTGCTGGCTGAATGGCTGCACCACGCCTCTTTACCCAAAGCTGTGCTAGAAGTAAGACCTGTCTTTGCTTACAACGCTTACATGAGGATTTAAGCTGCGCCATGCATTCAACAGACATTCAAAATCGTGTGGTTAATCAATGTAAATGGGTCTTTGAATGGACTACACCTCCTCTATAGGCAAAGTTAGAGGACTGATTGAGCTGAAAAAGCAAATTGACTCTTTCCATATTTTTCGACTGTGGGGTGGAGATTCGTTGAGTACGCAACAAAGTCAGATTCTTCGTTGTTCATCCAGATTGTAAAAATCCACTTTAAGAAACTCGCTGGCATGGCAAGTTAGGCCCTTCAGGAAATTCCTTCCAGGCAAACAGAAACCCGCTGTCCTAAATGACAGTAGAAGTGCTCAAACTATCATTTTGTGCGATCTGATTCCCGCTGAGAAAGTCCCCCTGAGAAGCGCCATTAGAGTCATTCAAAAGGGAAATGCTTTATTGAGATTGCGCTGAAAAGTCACGCATTACAGGTGCCGCTCGTCACGCCGGCCCGAGTCGAGGAGTTCGGACCGAGTGTGCACTATCGGCCACTCCAACCCGATGTCATCTATACTCAGGTACTAGACGTAATTCTAGTTGATTCATAATCGCAACATTCAATTCTGAGAAAAATTCTATAAAATAATAACTTTGAAATAAAACCCTAAATTCGAGGTAAATAGAGAACTGAACTCATGTTCCCGGTAGTCATTAAATCCATAACATTGTTCCCGGACAGGGCGTGGTTGTGAGCTCTTTGGGAGGAGACTTTGCATTAGTGGTACAAGGAATAAGCACGTTTTTGAAGAAACGTGGGTCGGATTCGAGTTCTGACAAATGCGGCGATAAAGTTTTGCCCATGACTGAGCATCCTCGTTTTGCCCATGACTGAGCATCCTCCCTTCCGGTAGACAGTACAGTGGAGAAAAAGGATCTTGCAGGAATTATAAGTCTCCATGGTGGTGTACCCGAACAGCGTGTTCTAGCTGCTCCCAAGAGGCCAATAGGGAAAGAGCAGAAAAAGCGGGGTAACATGGCAATGAGAAGCTTGTTATTTTACTCTCTCAGAATGGAGACCTGTGTGTAGGCTCACGTCTGCACTTAGGGGAATTGCGAGTTCGATCCCTGCCGAGGCAACTCCATGCCTTGCAAAATTTGCAAAAAAATGGTATCGGTACCAGCGTCAGGCCAGGTTGACAGGCCGGCTGATGGAGAAACCAGTCACAACAAATATGTCTAAAGTCTCAAAGAGTATCCGTGATAAAGCTAGGACGTCACCCGGAAGTGGCGCACAGGGCCCTCGCCTGAGTTCTGTGGACAGTATGCGAGGGCTACCGAGGAGTGAACGACCTCGGCTAAAGAAGTTAGTTCGAATAGGGACTCTAAATGTGGGTTCGCTTACTGGAAAGTCCCGCGAAGTCGCTGATCTTATGAAGCGCAGGAACATCCATGTCCTATGCCTTCAGGAGACCCGCTGGAAGGGAGCAAAGGCCAGAGAAATTGGAGAGGGTGTCAAACTCTTCTACAACGGAGATGACACTAAACGAAATGGTGTGGCTGTAGCAGT